CCTCGATCGGACGTGTACCCCCCCCGCATTTGGTAACAAGGTGAAAAAAGAGGAAGGGTACCATTAAGAATAGAAGGAGATATTATACTTCGAAATTTTTTCGATTTCTTTGACAAAATTCTATGAACACTATACAGACGGACGGTACTTGAGTTCCAGCACACTCCTATGAAATAGTGCTATCCTACCACACTTTATGCCGTATACTCATGCCGTCTTATTTTGAGACGCATTTTCTTTTAAATTAAACTCACTTTTTTTCCAATTACACATTTGCGTTTCAGAAAATTAAATTCAAACATCTTCAGAGAAAATTCTATACTTTTCTGAACTGCATATCATTATTTGGCGATAAAAAGAAAAATGGCCGTGATAAGATTGCTTTATTTTCAAAGATCCATCGAAGAACAAATTAAAGAGCCATGAATTCTTCTAAAATCAACAAAAACATTTCTATTCCGCGACATTTGTACATTTTACTATACTCGATATAAAAAGACTGGTTATTACACATATTAGAGATAATAAAAATGTTTGCCATCAAAAACATTGAAACACATGTGTCATTTAGATTTTTTTTCCTTCTCTTCTTCTTTCCATCTTTGTTTTTTAATAAATAACTAATTTTTCTGTTTTTTGGTTGCACCTTCCGATACACCCGCATACACCCACACGCACATACAAAACAATGATGATGATGCCATCAGTAAAAGAGACACATAAAAATAAAAATATTATAATAATAGTAGAGAAAAGAAAGAAAATCATTTCTTGTTCTGTGAATTTTGGAAAAAAAAGACAACCAGGTGTAGAATATGATAAAAAAGAAATGAAATAATACTATATTGATTCAATATTCATTTAGCTGAAAAATTGAACGCAAAAATGTGCATTCGGTTGATGTTGTACTTTAAGCAACGGTAAATAATATTTTAACAAAATTAAAAATAGCTTGGCTAATTATGTTTCATTCTGTCAACAGTTCTGGTTCATTGAAGCAGAACAAATTATTTTGTAGAAAAATATATTTGAGTTTTAAATAGACGTAGTAGGTATGAGACAATCTTTAATTTGTTTTAAGCATATTTTTCAATTAGATAACTTTAAGATAGAAAATAGAAGAAAAAAAGATTTTAAGTAGACGATTATTTTCTTGATTAGTAAGATTTGTAGAGATATCATCATAACTCTTTGTACTGTGAAAATGAAGTATCTGAATTAAGTTTTGAATAACCCCTACTATCATCTTAACATTTAGTTATAGAATGAGAAGTTGCCAAAATTTATTTGTAGTTCCGATACTGTACGACCATTGATCAAATGGTAGCTAATAAGTCATAGGTTTTTCCCCTGTAATATATCTTATTTTCATATAAAAGAATGAGAAATATTGAAAGCGCATACTATCGCTGATGCCTTTGTTTTCTTAATCAAAACTAAATCAAACAAAAATTCTTATAAAAGTAATAGAAAATCAGGTAGACGTTATAGATTTTTTTTTGTGTTTTTTGGCAACAATTGTCGTATTTCTAGCCTTGATATTTTATATTTTATATAGACTACTATTTTCTTCCCTTCTCTTCTATACTAATGAATATATTTTTTAGATTTTACAGTGAACGCGTGCGCCTTCATACCGAAAGGATAGACATTTGTATTTTTTTAATTTTACGATAGTTCTTTTTCTTTCTCTATATATTTATAAAGACATAAAAAAATTCAGAAACAGAAGCAATAGAGCATCTGTAAACTTATCTTGACGGCTACATCATTATCATTATAAATATATAAAAAAAATAGTTTGTTTGATAACTCTTTTTCTATTCTTAAAAATATTGTATATTTTTTAGTTAAACTTCAAGTAAATTGTAAAATTTTAGTTTTAATTTAAGAAAAACAGGGTAAAAAAAATAAATGTAGATAATCAAACATGAGACAAATGAAATAAATAAACTCTCTATGAAGTCGGTATCAAACGTCAAAACATAGTAGTTCTTCTATACGATCGAACACAAAGCGATAAATGTCAATAATATATCTATTTTCTACTGTGAATGTCACTATTTCTTGTTAAGATTCTATGGTCAACAAATAATAAATAAGTTTTTGAGCACTAGTCATCTAATGGTAGTTTTCTAAACAGCGTAGAATAGTAATAAAAGTCTTTAAAATGTTTTAAGAGACATATAATAAATGCGTTCACAGGTCAGAGAATCTTGCTGTAGTATCTTATAAGATTCTTGTACAATTTCGTCTGATTTCGTAAGATTCGTATAAGACTTTGTAAAATTCTGTAAGAAATATAGAAACTGATTCTTGATGTAAGATCTTATAGTAAGATTTTATCAGATTTCGTAAGATTCTAATATGATTTTTATAAGATTTTATAAGATCGTATAAGATCCTAATCTGATTTTTTTTGACCTGGATCATCGTATAAGGTTATCTATTTAAAACTATCTAAGGGAAATATGACAATCTTTAAAACACATTTTGTCCCTCTTCATGTTTTTGTCAAAGAAATTTGACAGTTGTACCGATTTTGTAAGCTGTTTTTCTCGATTGTTTATGTCAAACATTTACAATATTTTTCTATTTTTTTTCTTATTAAGTTTATTCTGTAATAAAAAATGAATATTGTCTTACATTGATAATATTTGTACTTAATAGTATAGTAGAAGAAAATATGCCATGCTTGAATGATTGACAAATGTATGACAAATAGGTAAGTGTTAATTTTTCTATTCTTAAATATATTACTGAGAAGGTCTCTAAATAAACATAAACTATTATTCTTTAGTCATATATAATTGGTAAATAATCGGTTTATTATTTAAGAAGTTTATTGGTCTTAAATCTTTCTGTTACTTTTTTAAAGTTTATTATGTAATTAAAAATTTAAAATACTCGTTTAAACTATAAAGATTTTTTGTAATTTGAACATTTTTATACTAAATAGCATATGAATGATAATAATAGCACTTAATCGCTTTTCTAATTTATATTTCTTTTTTACTTATCATTTATTTTTATTTTTTTGGGTGTATGTTAGGATTTTATCGAGTTATGTTCAAAAATCTTATACTTGAGAATTAACCTTGCCACTTTGTATTTATATTATGTGCATAATTTCATTTTCTTTTCTTCTTTTTTTTTTTTCTATTATGGTATACTACAAATAATCCGTTTATTTACTTTCCTACAGTAATTGAACATTTGATAATAACAGTGACTCATACAAAAAAGGATTTTTATATACCGATATCAAATATATGTTATTTAGCTTAGAACGATATTTCATAAATAACCGTGAAGAGAAGAGTAAACAAAGGTTCATTCTCAAATTCAATTACCATTGACACATTCTTTTCACAATATCAACTTTATGAATTTAAGCAGAAAGAAAATATTAGTAGACTAACTAAAACAGCAGACACTTTATCAGATTGGTCAATGGTATATTCACGATCCCATGACATTTAATCATAAAAAAACGATTTTAATGAAAAAAAAAAAAAAAACAGAGTAATATAACATTATGTTACTCGTATTTTTTTTTCTTTGTCTTTTTTAAGTTCTTGTTAGAAGGTCAACATAGTGGTAAATGTGTAAAAATACCACAAAAAAAACAAAAAAAAAAACATGAAAAAGAAATATTATTATATATTTTTGGCAGCTGTAACTTCAATGAAGATCTACAACTAGTCTATTTTTATCGAAAAGGAAGAGATATATTTGAAAGAAATTAAAATTTGAATAGATCTACTGTATGCTCTCTCTTCTTCTTTTTTCTAATCGTACAATATGATTTAAGAGTTTGAAAAGAATTAGATAAACTTTTTCTTACATATATCTACTCGTCTTTATACATTTAAAATGATTAGCAAACAAAAGAGACGATACAATATGTTTATTATCGAATTTTTTTCTATACATTATAACACATTTTTTTCGTTTCTTTTATTTCATCTTTTTTTTTTTTTTATTTTCTATTCATACATTATAGTACATAGAATATACCTTTATATGTATTATTTGTGAAAGAAGATGATGAAAAAAAACGAAAGAGAGAAAGAGAAATAAAATGGGGACATAATTTTTTTTGCACAACAATGATATAGAAGAGAGAAAGAGAGAGGGAAAAAAATATGTAAAAAGACGTACTAGTGTGTGTCGTGAATGGTGAAGTCTCTTTTTTTAAAATGTTCTTGGCGTTACAAGAAATAAAAATTTTGTATTTCAACCAAAGGTCTTATATGGCCTAACAAGTTACATTTAAAATATTATCGTTAATAACTTATTTAAACAAGACATGGGTGTAAGAGTAAGTATTTAGTACACAGTTTGTTTTTGTATTCTCAGTTTTAAATAATTTAAATTGTTTTTTTTAAAAAATCTTTATTACTGCAAAAGTCAACAACTAAGTCATTGTAACGAGAAACGTTCTCTTGTTTTCGTTTCTTCTTCTAAAAATGAGGAAAAATATTGTGTAACCAACAACATAGTCTTTCTTACAATAGTTGTTCTCATTCTCAAATTTGTACCTTCATGTACAAAGATTTCCGACAAACGAAAATGATGCTGAATTTTTTTTCGAATTTAGTGTGTTAAATCCAATAAAATAGTTGATTAATGTTATGAATATCTTTTTTTCTCTACCTATCATGATGTATACTAAAAACTTATGCTATGTTTTATTTAAAATCTTTAAATGAGAAAAAATAAAAATAATAAGTCGACTGGCGTCACTAAAGTGTCACTGTAATAATATTTCAAGCGAAAAAATGATTTTTATAACAATGATATACGTATACTTATCATTTTTGAATGTTACCCACATGTAATAGTGCAAACATAGATGTTCAGCTCTACACATTATCGTTAAATCGAAAGATGTTGATCTTCTCTATTGTATATTTTTGTGTCTTGAGGAAATATTCAACATGATCTTATTTTTTGTTCCAGGTATCACTACCGCTAGGGATAACTAGCGGAGGAGGATGACCGAAGCATTTGTAACGACGGATATCATTGTTATTGTTGTATTAATTGTGGTATTAGCGTGCATTGGTGCTTGTGCATTTCTCACACATTTTTATTGGACATCAATTGGCGTTGCCGAAGTATGGAATACGACAAAATGGAGTTCTATACGAAGTTCAATTTTTCGTACAATGGGACGTTTTAGTCGTGCTAGTAGTAAATATAGTTCAGGACGGCCACTAAGTGGCTTTTCGAATTATAATGAAGAGGGTATATCAAATTTCCCTCCATCATCAAACGAACATCCATCATCAGCTGTTATTCTACAACAAAAACAACCGAAACAACAAGAAACAAAAGTTCAAAAGCAATCTCAATCGTCCCCATCACTGCAAAAGTCACCTGGTAAAGTTAAAGAGCAGAAAAATGCAGTATGGTCATCAAATTTCAAACGACCACAACAACATACATCTGACGTGACTAATACTAGACGTAGTTCACGAGGTATTAATCAAGTACAACCGGTATCGACAATCACTTATAATAATTCTTCGTCTGGTAATACGGCAACATACAAACAAAAATCTTCATCACAATATGCAACAAAAATTGGTCAACCACTAACAAATACAAAAATCCACAATATCTATGAACATAATAATGCATATAATGAAGATGATAAATGTGAAGTAAATACAGAGTATCTCTAATTTGTAGTTGTTGTCTTTTGTTTTTAATAGAAATCATTATGCAAAAAAATTTTCATATGATTTTCCTCTTGTTTTCAAAACTTATACTGATAAATTTGCTTTGTTCTTCTTTTCTGCTCTTTTTATACATACTGGTGATATTTTTCTGTATTTATTTGAGATCACCCTGGTGATATTACCTTTGTTTGTCTATGTCATAATTTTCTATTCTGTTGAAGCAATCTTTTAATTGTATTGAAACTCATATACGTACATATCTTACTCTCACTTTTTGTCTTTGTTGTTGTTATTTATTTTTTACACTTTGTCTTGTTATATCTATATTTTTATTACATAAAGTATTTAACACAATTGTACAAAGCTTATTTTTTGTTTGTTTTGTTTTGCCATGTCAATTTTATAGATATATATGTATGTACTCAACTTTTTCAAAAAAACAAAAATGAATTTCCGATATATTTTTTTGTTTGTTTCTGCAGTAATTTTTATTTGTTATATATTTGTATTGTTCGGTGATATATACGTCGACTGTTACTATTATCAAAAAAAAAGTAATAATTAAATTAAAAGACAAGAAAAAACTCGTGAAAAAATCAAGTCTTGTTCAAAGAGAGTACACACGTTCTTTGTATTTAAAAACAAATGGATTTTTATGTTATTTTTCACTTAATCTATCTCCTTCCATAACTGTCAAATTCTATCATTAATTTGACACTTCCATGTAGTCGTTAAGAATAATTACTATATTTTATTAACAAATTATGGTAAAAAAAGAAAAATGTATCTAAATGTATAGATAAATAATGTAAATAAGAATAAAACAGTTACATTCACAGTTATAACTTGATTGCAAGAAAATGAATGAGTATTATTGGACTACGTCGCTATCCATCCATTTTTTCATTAAAACTATCGTCTTTAGTTTCATAGTCAGTTTTTAAAGAGTCCACCTCATGTCTGAGCCCTCCACGATAATTTTGATAAATTACTTGTACAGGAGTTATAATTCTAGATGAGACTGTACCTAAATCAAAACAGGATTCCCATTCAAATTTTTGAAATAATTGATGACCGATATTGCTTGCAGAGGCTGACATTGGAGGTATAAGACAAGTTTCATCTAAAAAGTTAATAATAGTTAATTAAATAAAGAAAAGTATTTCTCTCATATAATAGACTAACCAGTTTTATTTGAATTAATTTGACAATATTTTCTTCTTTTATGATTATAACTATTGTGATATGATCGTTTGTTATCTCTTAGCAGTTTTGACTGTCTTCTCACATGTGTTGAAATATACTAAATAACGAAAACCCTTGTTGTAAACAAGTTACAATAAAATAAGATAAATGCGCACTTTTTTAATATCGTTAGATGTTGTATGCCGATTTCCTGTCAGAATTTCTCTACTAGTCATATATGATTTAATACGATTTCGAAATGATGTTTTTGACGATTGGAACATGACTGTAAATGCTCGATTTACTACTTTTTCAATATTAACATCTGTTGATGATAACATTTTGCCATTAGCAGCAGCATTATTGTTCTTGTCTTTCCACCATTTTACAACATGCGGTACACTTTCATCTCTTGGAAAATCCGACTGTTCATCATCAGCTATAAAAGAAAAGCATTCACGTTATTTTACATTTTAAAAATTTAGAACTCTTTACCTTCATTACTAGTTGGTGAAGGGTCACTATCACTTAAATTCAAACTGCTACTGCTACTGATTTCAGTTCTAAAGAGAAACACAGAACATGTCGTTGGAAACAGTGAAATTAATTGTGTCATACCGATTATTGTCATCCATCAGCGTTCGTTCGCATTCATTCATTGAACTACTCAATGGCCGATGAAGATCCTCACGAGAATTATGAATGAAACGAGATGATGCGCGAGCCGAACGTTTTCTTTTTCCAACTGTTGTTATTGAAAAGGACGAGGAAGAAGAATGGGTGGTGTCAACATTATTATGCATTTCGTTATTATTCCAACTACTTTCACTGAAATATTGTCGTCGACGTTGTCTTGAATTTGACGTGTTGTTACCACCACATTCACTACCAGATGTGTTTGTTATGTTTGATGATGATGGTATTTTTATATGTTCAATTACACGATTTTTCATTAATTGGTCAGAACTAGTGATCATAACATTGGTCGATGTTGATATAATTATCGGAGGGCTTGGTTTCTTAAATGGTCGACGACGACGACGTCTTGATGATGGATCAATTCTAGACGTTGAATCAGACTCTGAAGTCAATAAAGTGGATTCAACTTCTAGAAAAATACAGCGAATATAAAAAAACTATTCAACTGAAATTAAAGATATCTTCAATGTCAACGTAGTCAAAAAGACTCACAAAATACCGTTGATGACAAATAAAAAAAATATACAGAAGCTACCAAAAATGAAACTACACTTTTGCTAGATAAATCAATCACACGTCAAATAAATATCTAATCGAAATGTCAATATGTTACTAAACTTACTTGAAGGTATTTCAAAATCTTCTCCCTCACTGTGACAAGTCATTCTTAATGTTAAATTTTCTTGAGTTGTACTATCTGACACATCGGAACGACATGCGATATTCACACTATTTGAACTATTATTAGTTGTTGTACGTTTTTTTCGTCGTTTTGACTTCGTTGTTCTCGTTATCGTTTTTGAATACGTTTCATTTAATGCTGCATTTAAATCGAACACCAGTTGATCCATGACTGTCTTTTGTATTGCTTTCAATTTATCAGATAAAAGCAATGAAGGATGAATTTCGTCCATCCAACGGACAGTTTGAATTATGAATTAACCAAACAAATTACAAAAATTTCAACGATAATTTGTACATATTTGACTTCTATAACAAATTAGAAATAGAGAAAATTTGGATAAAGCGAAAAAAATTTAAAGTCAGATAAAAATGTTGAAATTACTCGAGTTTTTTTATTCAACATAAAAAGAAAACAATTTGGATTCACAATACAAGTAACGTACACGTAATATTAAACAGAAATCTATTATTATCTGCTATAACGATCAAATCTGAAAGAAATTGAGTTATATCTATATTATAATTATAAAGTAGAAAGTTAACATCCTCAACTCATGTTCATTTAGGTGATTGCGATCTACTTTAGATATTTTCTTTTTATGTTTGTTTTATTCATTTAAAATTCTCTGGATAATGTTTATTATTGGCAAACTAATCCACACAACATACAAATAGTGATTTGTGCATATTTGGTCCCCGTTATTTGAGTAACTAAATGATGAATTTCAAAAATGTTTTTGAAAAATTATTAAAAAGTAATTTCATGCAATTCATTTTGATTCGCCTGTCAGACACCATCGTTTTTGGATATAGTTCCTTTGTTACATAAAAATTCTGTTATAAGAATCTTTTCGCTCATTTTCAAGTTTACAAAGGGTTAGAATCAGGTTTTGATTGTTTGACGCAATACTTCGTCGTTCTGCCAATACGTATTTTTGAAACAGCCGTTGTCGTTTCTTTTTTTTTGCATCTGTTCAAATTTAATTTTTTAGTCGTTGGATCATTCCTACCTAAAAAAGAAAATATAATTCTTTTTTAATTGTAAATAATTAAAAGTGTACCTTAGCCAACCATTTTAAGAATTAAGAGCACACGATTTTTCCTTTATACCATTTTTGATTGGTAATACCACGTTTATTCAACTGATCGTGACGACAGCATTGGAGGAAGTAGACATGCAACAGTTACAGTGACGGACCGTGTTTCGGGCAACGATAATACCGTTGCAATTCATTACTGTTACTGGCATTACAGTTACTGTTCGTTACTGTGCCAGTAGTACCGTTACTGTTTATTATCGTTACCGTTCATTGCCGTTATCAGTGTTGAAACTTGAAAAAAACAAAGTTTCTAATAAAACTATTATAAAATTTGTTTCGGCAAGAGGTGATTTCTTGACGGAACACTGAATAAGCTGGCTGGCTGCCGTTCGGGAGATAGTTTTGTCAGAGTATACTCTATTCTGGTCTGTTTTGGAAACAGGAATCATCTTTTATAATGAACCTGCGCACGACTCTACTAAAGAAATGTTGTCTAGAAAAACTGATAGCAATGACACAATGTTAATCGATCACATTAACAATGTTAGCAAAGAAACAGTTTTTTGGCCTATCTATCGCAGTATTTGAGAAAGCCAATGATCTGTAAGAAGTGCGAAAGATTTATGGGTTCGTCGTTGATTAACACAAGCATTAGAATTTGGTACAAAAGGTCCTACTGACGAGTTAACGGATATTTTACTTGAAATCAATGTTGACTCCAGATATTTAATAAAATCATATGAAAACTTCCGTACAATACATCCACGAAACGTCGGATGCAAAAAACAGTGATCAGCACACACAAATTATCAAAGTGAAAGGGGGGCGGGGGTGAGAAAAAGCTTGCGCAGTTACCATCATCTTGACATCGTGGATGGATTTCCTAATTGTTGACATCAGACATGTTAGCGCATATCCGAATGAAGAAGAAATATTATTCATGATTGGTTGCTTATTTCGTATGAGATCATTCATGTAGGACGTAGGATTCTTCTGACAGCGCATTCTTTTTTCTCACTCATCTTTTCGCATAATTTTATTTTTTACTCTAACAATAAAATAATTCATACAATTTAAATTATAGACAATGTAGAAGGTGATGCTGACGGTTAGAGATATACGCAAGGGGGAAACAGGTAATTTTGGGATTTTTCCGATTTTCATCGATTTTCACCAAATGAAAAGTCACCGGAAATGGCTGAAAGTCATTGGAAATCACAGAGAATCACTGAAAATCAATTGATTTTGGGCTGATTTCAATCAGCTGTTTCTCCCTTGGGTATGCGACATCGAGAAAAAGTTAGTACCGTCGGTTCAGTGCCAGCTGCTTCTGGTTTTCAAAGACAACTCATTTTCTGTATTGAAGGAAAACCAGAAAAAGAGGGGTATTATCACCTTTATGAACTTTTTTTTACTTACTCATTGTCTATTATTCGTTTTTTACGTATCTGTGAGAACTTTAATGAGTAATAGACTGTTTTCACTTTAAATCAAGACAGATTAAATCAAATGCTGCATCCGCACTTATAAGTTTAAAAGTTGACTTTATTAAGCTTCTGGTTCTAACTTTATCATAGCCCCAACAGTGGCGTATCCCGTTCGAGCTATAAAAAATAGATATTCAAGTCGGAGTATGAAACGATATTCTATTCGGGATATACTCAAAAATAGATTTCGATTGAGCTGCGTATCTGCAACGAGATATTTTCGAATCGGGGATATGGAACCACACCGATAAAAGACGTTTCATCAGTCTTCTGATTCGAATTCGGGTAGTAGTTCGTTTTCGTTTTAATAGTTTTTCATCTTGTTCGAACAATAAAATTAAAAGTGAAAACTGTCGAGCTTATAAACAGGAGCTTATCCGTGATTCAACAAATTTATTAGAGGCAGGGCACATACAAATCTTTTAAAAGACAAATAAGTAATTTGATTTAATATGCAACAGACAGGTTATGGAGCACAAAATGAGATCCCGATGTTGACTCATGTGGAATCTCTCCCATACTGGAGATTTCGATCTTATTGATATCCTACCAGCTGAGTATTACATTAAGAGCCTTAGTGACTTTTACAGACATGATTTGAGTCTGTAATACGGAACCAGAACGAGAGCCCTGCATTGTTAGTTGTAAACTGTCGTTATAAGATGAATGAATAAGATGTATAAGATGAATGAATGAATTTAAGATAAACTGTCGTTATAAGAAGATGACAATAAAAAGAGTGCTTCTATTAATCTGTAAATCGTTCCCGGTGGCAAGAACGTACACTGTTAAAAAACTATGTTCTTCAGTTTTTCAGAGAACTGAAAAGTCAACGGGAATTTTGTTCTTCATTTATCCCAAATAGAGAACTTAAATTCTGTTCTTCAGCTCTCGAGGACTCTAAACTTGTTTTTCAATTTTTCAAAGGACGAAAAAAATCATTTTTTTAAAAACTGAAGGATAAATTTAGAGTTCTTGAGAGCTGAAGAAGCTTTTTAACAGTGTATTGACCAAAAACATACCAAATTTACAAACTTTTCACTTGTTTGGTCTTTCGTCTAATTTGCGTAATTTTCTTGATTGAAGTTCTGAAATTAAACTTTAGATATGATTTTCTAGAGTATTTCGCGGCGCACCTTTTAAAAAAACATTAATTTTTAGGTTTCTAAAGGAACACGAGAAAAATAGAAAATAGTTAGAGGCTAATTAGTCCTGCCGTACCCGTTACCAGCTTGTGGTCGAAAATGTTGATCAGGAAATCAATAATTAAGAATGAACTTGATATCTGGTAAAAAAACTAATAATTATAACACAAACTCAAAAGTACAGCGAAAATGGACCCTAACCGAGGCTAATGCTGACATTTAACCAGAGTTCTCAACGTTTTGCCTAGATTCTTTTCCATTCAGAAATAGTTCATTTTATACCACAGCGGTCAGACACCTGGTATCCAAATTTCGAAAATCTAAGGCATAGAAAATATTCGTAACTGTTTTCTGACATATTATTGATAGAAAAAAAAAATCATTTGGTGCAAAAACCTTGCTTATTCGACTACGTCCATTATGTAGGAAATAGCGGCGGGTAATTTTGCGCAATAATTGTGCTTTTTTAAATTCCCATTTATCTAGAGGTTGAAAAATATCACTTTCAAACCTTTTATTCTAATAGTCAACAAAAGCGTAGACCCGAAAAGCCACACCTTTGCAATATAGTACATCGTAAAAATACTTTACAGATATGTAGTTTCAAAATATGTCAAGATCATTTTAGAACTGTTCTGATTCTATAATAATTTATTGGTTTCAGACGCTTTTTGAACACTCAACTCGGTGCAGAAGTAGTCGATGTAGTAGTTGTTATCACTTGAATATAATAACTATCGCTCTGTTATCTGTTCGATCAAATTGTGGTCAGATAAAGTGGTCTTACTTGTTACACTGTCTTACTTTACCAGATACGAGTAAGCAAAACAGTTGCTTAATTCTGCATTTTCCCGTAGAAAAATCAAGAAAATTTTTTATCTTTAACTTATACGCGTATCCAGTACGTTTATTCTATGCGCTACAGAGCTGTGCAACATCTCATTTTGTGCATCTAACTATGCTTTTTAAGACCAGAAAGGAAAAAAACGTTTTTACACCTCTGTCGCACTAGTTTCTGAGCAGTTCCAAATCTGTCTCAAACAAGTTCTGCAGAAATCTGATTTCTGAAACTATTCAACCTTTACGATTCTAACACTAAAAATACATCGATTATATACTAAGTTTTTGATGCTAGTATTATCAAAAATTATTTCAAGTCATTTGATAAAGAAAAAAACGGAATGATCCTATAATTTTTCACACAGAAAAACTGCTTCTTTCTCTTAAAAAGACTTTTTCTTTAAGAAAACAGTAAGCTAACGAAATCTCAACGATATATTCGGAAAGAGCATAGTCAAATGCATCTATTCTCGCTTGAGCTTTCCACAAGAAAAAACATTAATATTAGGATGTATTATTAAACTGCTTTTATAATTTTTCACAATACTGTAAATATATCATTGGACAGGATAAATATTAAAACGATGTTTATTAAGAAAGATACAGACATTCCTTTTAAAACAAGAAACAAACAAACGATTGTATTGAAGAATGTATGTCTCATGAGCAATAAAACAAATTGATCTTTTTGCCAGACATAGAGAGAGAGACAGAAAACTAAGGTACAACATTGATTCAAAAAAAAAAGAAAATACACTCGTTACCTAGTCTGCTTTTACATGATTTATCCGCTAGTTGCTAAGGATGCTTTTTCCTTCTTTTTAGGGCTTTGCTGTAAAACTCCATTTTTTATTGTGTCAGGGTACGAGAGTTTTTAAAATTGAAAAACTGTTTTCAGTTTTAAAAAATTTATAACTCGAGAATGAAAGATGTAAAAAAGTATTTCTGCGATATTGTCTCGAATACCTTTGATAAAGTTTTTATCTCAATCGGATGGAATCTCAGAAGATGGTAGCCCGACACGATGAAAAATGGACCGCAAAACTCATTAAATGATAATAGGCAGATATTTGAAACAAAAATAAAAATATGTTCTGTTTAACTTTCAAACAATCATAAGAAGGTGAAGTCTTTGTCATTTTCAGTTTTAATTTGACAACATTTCTATGAAAAGAAGACGCACTCTTAACATTCACAAAATGAGATAACAAAAACGAGAAAAATAGTATATACACCTGTTTTTTGAGCCAAAAATTAACAAATAAAAAACTGACTACCATAAAAGCGTGATTCCGAAGCAGAGATTGTTAGATCGTGACCCGAATTGATGAGACCTGGATCTGGAGTTGAGATATGCTTCAGATCACAAAACTGTGAAGTTCAGTGTGACCAGTTTGACTATAAGTGTTACACTGAGTATCACTGTTAAAGCTGGATCTACGCAGGTTCACAGATCAAGGTCTTCTGCGTACGTCTTAGAGTTTTTTGTGTCATCGAAAGAGAGCATTAGGGTATTAAAACATAAAAAGCAGTTATAGAAAAAAAAGTAACAATTCTGGGAGAAAGGTGACAGAAAACTACCGGACAGTTGCTAATGGACCTCTAATTGCACTATATAGATCATTTTAATAACAATAGCTGGACGTATGTCAATGATGAAATGACGAGAGATTTAACAATGTAAAAACGACATGAATTGGACTAACAAGCGACAATACTTCGTGAGAAAAATAGCTATATATTATTACAAAAGACGTATTGTACAATAAGATTGATATCGAAAACATAAATGAATCTAGAAAAACAATAGGATGAATCAGGACGTGTATGAGACTGATCGTCAAGAACTTAATCCTCTATTGAAGTTTAAGTTGTAGTTCTAATGATATTCGTTTATCAATTAGATCAGTTAATCTATCTTCCCAATGTTTGAGTTGTGCTTTTAAAATTGAATTATGTATTTTTGTTTGATTTAATGCTGTGTGTAATTGCTGTTGTTCGGTATTGTCATTTGGATCATCTTGATTATTTATATTAGTTGAAATTAATGTTGACAGTTCTTGTAAACTATCTGGCTGTAATAAATCACGTATCTGTTGTAATAACACATTCGGATCTGTTTGTTGTGGTTGTTGAACAATCGATGGTCTCGTACGACTAGCATGATATAAGGGTGTGGTAACAGTACTGCTGTTATTATTGTTATTCGCAATCGATGTACGAGATGGTTGTTGAGGTGTTATTTGTATATCGGTTTGTGTACGAGGTGGAAGAGTAGGCGCGTGAGGTGGAACTGTTGTTGTTGTTGTTGTTGTTGTTTCATTAATGAAATCGAGTGATGCATTACGACTGTGCTTGTTTGAGCGTGGAGGAGGAGGCGGTGGTGGGAGAATACTTTTTGATGAGTCGAACGATTTCAATACGGGCGGAGGACCGACAGGAGATGATAGTCTTAGAGGAACAGGTGCAAGTATTTTATGACTGTCTGAAGAGACGGGAGGTGCAAATGTAAATTCTTTTGGTCTCGATTGAGGAGACGCTATGGATTCTGATTCTAAATCATTAAAATTGGTCCAAACGGCAGGTGGGACTGCTCCTAGTATTGTGGGTTTTGTGATCATAGCTGCTGGTGTAATGGCTGAATCAACAAGTGTCTGACTAGGTGGCACTTCTGTAGATGTTAATGATGTTGTATCAGATAAATCAATTAAAGGTGTATAGGGCATCAATTGAGCTGGTAGCTCGTCCGGTAATTCAAATGAGTTTACGCGTAATACAACAAGATGCATGGCTGTGCAAAATTCCGCTAATGATAAAGCCCCATCATGATTCACATCTGATAAATTCCATATTTTAGACAATTCATTTGTGGGTAATCGTGATCGTTCAAAAAATTCTTTGGCAATATTTCCTAGAAGAATAGACGATTATTAACTTATTTATAGTTGTTTGTCTAAGCTTATCTACATGAAACATACCCATAATAACTTTATTTATGTCTGGTTGTAATTCACGGAATTGATTTGTGTAGTAATCACGTTGTTCATTCGTAATGGTCCATGGATCCTCTTCATCAAAACCAACTGATGACGAAGAATCATCATTTTCCTCGTCATCATCTTCATCTTCTGAATATGTGTCATCTGATGACGAAAATTCATTTGAATGCTGCGCATCTTTTTTCCCATTATGATAATGTTTCGATGTTTTATTTAAATAAATTGTCCAATCTTTCTTTGGTTTCAACGTCGAATTTATTCCTGCTTCACCACCTCCATTTAATTCATCGCCATTATTACCACTCGCTCCACCACTATTAAGATCAAGATTATGGACACTGGTATTAACTAGTATTTTGCCTTCGTCATCCGACTCAAAATAAGAAGATAAATGTTGAACACTATCCGATTGTGAACTTAGTATGCTAATTGTATCATCTGGACGAGTCGACAAACGATGATCAGTATTTCGAAGTACAACACCGTCAGTCATTCTTCTATCTTTCATATAAGAGAGTTAACGCAACTTTCACCGGTATCTGAAAACGAAAAGAAAACTCGATATAACAAAATTAGCATAACTTAGAATTGATTTCCTTACGAGAAATGCACATTTACAGTTTCATTCGAAGGTAGATTTATTTTGATCATGATAGACGAAGTTGACTAATGTTCTAAGAGATAGAACACTATACTGTTATGGTAGCTCAAAATAAAAATGTTTAATAAATAGATTCTAGAGAAGTTCTTGAATAAATAAATCTGATGATTTGTGCTATTTTAAAGAGCAGTAGACATCAGGCTCCTATTATCGAGTCATTTTAAGGTACGCTTTAAGAAACTACAGTAAGATAATTCTCTTAGTTAAGTTTTGTTTCTGACATAGCTAAAAAAACAAAAACATACCAAAAGATAAGACTAATGAAAAGAACTAAAGAAAGAAGAAGTTTTAAACCAAAGACAATAACTTTTAGTTTTCTGAATGTAATTAATTAGTCGAAGAATTCGAATAAATAAGGATGAGTTCGCAGAATGATTGTACGTATGTACTAATAAGAAGAAAGCGTATTACACACGATCGTGGTAAGGAAAATTATTCTACTGTCGGAACACAAGAAATTTTAACTTAAAACTACGCCAAGGTGATCTCACATTGGCAAGAATTAATCTAAATGTCGGCTATATTAATACCGATATCTCACAAACCGCGCGGCTGATTTAAACGCATATTTTCAGAAATGTATAAAAAAAAGAGTGGTTATTTGATTCGTATTATACAAATTATATCAGATTATTATGCCTTATCGTTAATAAGTTCTTGAAATGGACTGACTATTTCAAATTTTTTGTAATACGGTTCGGCGACCTTAAAATCTCACCATCGATTGACTAACAATAGCATTACACTTTCACATCTCTCTCGTTCATTAATTGTAATTTATTAACTGTCTCAGATGTATCTATAACTAGCGTAGAAATATTTTGAGAGATATACATCATGACACTCATTTTGAAAATCTAAATATGATTCCACTGTTATGCACTGTTCTACCGTGTACTATTGTTCTTCATCTGTCATGTGGTATCAACGAATAGAAAAAAGTATTCATTTAAGTTCAAAACAGATATTGCAACAAAAAAAACAACAACAGGAGGATAATTTACCAGTATGGTGATGAATTTTTAGAATGAAAGCAATTATCTTAAATTTTTCATTTGAAACAACATTACTCTTTTTTATACTACATACTTAAATTAAACCGATTAATTTCAAAAAGAAAAAAATAATAATCTCGTACAGTTTTACAATTTATTTTCTAAGTATTTAAAACAGTTCATACAACTTTTTCACATAAAAACTTACACATAAGAAAAAAGCGACAAGCTTGTCAAATAAAAATTGATAAGCATTTGAATCGATGTATTACAATGTAAAGAAAAAAAAGCGAATAAAAAATAAACAAAAACAAAAAAGCCTCAAAATATTTACACATGTTAGATCCACTAAGAGTCAATTATAAAAATTGTGAACAAAATGCCTCAATGGCATCGGACGTTTGTCTTGCCTGATTTCTATTTGCACCTGCATTGTCACGAATCCATAGTTCAAAATATTCTTTATCTTTGAGTAATGTCAAATAAATACCAAGTAATTCATATGCCTGAAATAAAACGTATTTTTTAGTTATTTGAAGTATCAAAAAAAAATGAAAAAAAAAGGTAGCAACAAAGCACCATTCTATCTCAACTTTCTTACTTTTGTTATTCCAGAATCTTCTAAATTACTTGATAATTTTGGTCCAATACCAGGTACTTCTGATACATATTTGTCTTTCAACGGCTCCGATGTAAAATCTCGAAATTTTTGTGAAGTTGATGATGACATTGCAAACAATCTAGAACAGACGGAAAAAAAATGAAAATGATTTATAAGATGGACTGTTGAAAAAATTAATTTACTCCGACCGAGAATAGTATCTCTTTTTATTGCTTATTATTAATCGAGCAAAACAAAGACATAGTCAAATGTATGTTACATATAAACAGTTTTTATATGAAAAAACACCTATATACAAATTATAAGAACAATTTAAAAAGATAGAAAAAGAAGATAAATTATTTATAAATAAGTTGTTTTATTCTAAATAAATGCTTCTGCCCATTCGGATAATGCTTGTGTCGTTGTTTTTGCTTGATGCGCATTGGCTCCACATTGAGTTTGCAGCCAATCTTGAAATAATTCTGCATCTTTATTGCTCAATAAAAATTTACCAAATAATACGTAAGCCTATGAAAGAAAACATGTTATAATATAAAATAGGAACCATTAAATAAAATCATCTAGCATACTCTTTCATATCCAGCTTCTGTTAATTTTGTACCCAATACCTCACCAATTCCAGGTACTTCTTTAATAGTTTTATCGCCAAGTGGTTCGGCCATAAACTCACGAAACTTCTTCGTAGTTGTAGACATTTTATAGCACTAATTTATCTAGAAAATCAAAGCCAAATCAGACAGCATGGTGCGGATCTAAGAACTTTGGAAACAGACGAGTATCCATAGTTCTACCGCACGTCCCTTAAAATTTTGTTTTATTCTATCTCTAATTGACAAGAAAAAATGCTTTTAATACTGTAGATTATCTAAGCAAACTATCCAAGCAAAAACGATCCCATTTTTTGTGTTATTTGTCTAGATTAAGTTGCACGTATATCCAGATGTATGCTGAGATGAATCTAACTAAATAATCAAAAAAATTGAATTGTTTCTGCTTGAATAGTGATGCTACTGGCAACGCAGTTAGATATTGAACAAGTGTTTTTTGGAAAGATGTTAGACATTTGAATATCACAGAAAAGTAACAGAACAGCACTAAACATTGTTCGGTTTTTTTTTTTTTCTTTTTGCGTATAGTTACAATGGTGAACATATAGAAAAACAAATTTTTTTCGAATGTGACATTGTTAAAGCAAAACGCTATAAAAGAACGAGAAATGAACCTGAACCTCGGCGATTACATAAGAATAAGAAAGCCTTTCAAATGTTCAGAAAAAATTGAGACTATTATACACGACACTATTTCCTAGAGTACATGAAATATAAAGTACATTTCTTGGCAAAATTCTTGTGATGCGGTTGCAGCTCTATAGTCTGTCTTTCTGAAGGTGCTAAGCAAGCTTTAAATGAAACGTCGTGACATACCGTCACAAATCGTAATTAGGAGGAATGCAAGCGCAATCTAACAGCGTTTCTATTAAGGAGGCTTCCCATCGGGAAAAAGCTTTTTTATTTTACAACCGATTTTGATGAAACTTAGAGATTGATGGTTATCACCTAACTAGCTTATGCTAAAAATTTGAGCTCAAAAAGTTGGAGATTTGCCAAGTTATAGGTGTTACAAGGAGCTCTCAGCAAACTACTCCTAGACGATTCATTGTACGATCTTCATTTTATTTTTAACTTTAAAGCCAAGGCATTTGTCTAAAGGTTGTCCGTGATAATTTTTAAGATTCGCTTCCGTTCATTTTCTACACGCACTTCGAGTCAAAACTCCGAAGTCCTGTAATCCGGGACAATAATTTCTATTTTTCTCGGCTCAAGAGGCTTAATTCAAGAATCATAATGGACAATCTTCAAACAAATGTGTTAGCTTCAAAACAAAAAAAAAAAATGAAGATTGTACGATGAACCGTCTAGGAGTAGCAAGTTTACCGCGCCAAAATCACGTTCCAAGAAACAGGTTAAACAAGTTTGAAGATGATCGTAGTAGTTTTAAGGTTTAATCTATGGTAACTAAGCAAAAACTGCTAAATAATGAGGAGACTGACAGAGAACTTCTCAAAAACCCATGAGAAACTAACTTTTTTGTGAAAAGCGACATAGATTTTAAAAGGGAGACTTCAAGTAAGAAACTAATGTCGTTTTTTCTCTTAATAACATCGAATTCTTCGTGCAGAACAGTGGGCATTTTTGGCTAAAGCAGGCGGACATGTAACTTTCGTGCTTCGAAACGGGTTTCTTTTGCTCAGAAGTGATTGTATATCACTCCGAAAATCATCTTGAAGAAAATAAAACACTTTTTGAAAAAAACATCTAGAGTGGAAAATCTAGTTTTAGCCTATGTATAAACTTCGTAAGAAGTTTCCATTTTTGATGATAAGACTCTTTATTCCTTAGTAGCTAGATTTTTCGCTATGTTTTCGGGCTAACTATGATAAGAGGAATCAAAATTTTTATGTCATTAAATAGTCTGTAGTTTGAAGTATATGTAGCACTATTTGGATCATCAAAAAGTCTACTTGCAATTTCCGCCCATATCGGGACATTTTTCGCCTAATGTCCACCAGAATGCCCACCGTGTGAGGGGGAGGGGAGTTCTTAAGAAGTATTCTACACTGAACTTTCCTTTGGACAAAAAGGAAACAGTAAAACTTATTTCCTGTGAATTAAATGCGTTTGCTTCCACTTGATTTAGCATCGTAGTGAACACACTAAAACGCTAGTATTTAACAACTCAAAATTTGTTCCTGAGCACCACTAAATCGAGTATCGAGCGCTACAACTCTAGAAGACCCATGATAAAATATTTAAGTAATCATGATATTTTTGTTTCTAATTGCTCACTAAGTACTATTGTTTTAGTATTTTTACTGACGCAATCATTAGAAACGTTATATCTATCCAAGAACAGCAGATGAAAGGACAGTAATATTGAAAAATACAACAAAATACTCCTGTCTGCCCCATTCCTAAACCTCAATGAACACAGAAAGAACATGAATTAAGGAAAATTGCTTACGATATGACTAATATAATATAAGATTAGAAGCTAAACAAAATAAAATAAAAATTCAGCTTGCTGGAAATAAATAATTATTAATTTTTTATTTGCTCATGAAATTTTCCAATAATACTTGAGGAATACAAACACGTCTATGCAGAAAATGGTTAAAACCCAACTCATTAGAATGACTCATTCGACGTTCTGTAATACTTTTGGCACATGTGATTAATGATTTATTTTGTGTTAATAATAGTTAATCATGCTAACTAACTGACTAATCTAGTTAATATAACACTAAATATAGCTCGAAGATATCTGAAGGTTAAATATTTTGAAGAATTGTATTAATCTTACAAAACAAAGTTTACGAAAGTTTTTCGATAATATAACGTCAAAGTAAAGCCGAATATTCTGTACCTGTGTGAATTAATCAAAGAACTACGATCTTGTTCAGGAAATAGTTTTTGTGCTCTTTAGTAGCAGCTCAAATCGCTTGAAAAATTAGTGTGAGTAGATTATGTTTTTATTTGTTGTTAAGCATGTCGTAAACAAAATAAAAACATATCCTTGTAGTGTCTAAGGAAAATATTCTTGATATTCTTAAGTCCTATTAAATTATTATAGTTATAGATAACTTTTTACACTTTTTTGACAGACAAAATATTAGATGACAGAAAAAAGCGTGCATACCTGAGCGCACATACACAGAAAACAAAAAAGAATATTGTACTTTGCAGCATTTCGAGACTAAATGGCGTGAAATCATGGAAAAAACTAAATTATCTTTATTTCACTCACGATTCTTTTACACGCTCTATGCTCAGTGCTCGCTGATAACATCTAGATTGAAGGATAATGTCTAACTAGACCTTTTTCTAGTACTGTACGTTTGGAATTCAGCTTATTTTTGTGACATTCACGTCTGTGCTTGAGAGAGTAATGGATCAGGGGTCAGTTTCTTAAAACTTAAGTGAACATTTCGCTTAAGTCAAATTTTTTTTTTCACTTAAGCTTTTGAATAGAAGATTGTTTAAATTTTGTAACTTCTTTATTTGAAGTCCGTAACCCACCCAATTTATCATAATTAGACTGAACATCATTTTTCAGAGATTTTGTTCAGAAAACTGTTGTAAAATAATCTAAGTTGTCTAAAATACGAATGGATTTTATTGCATGACCTCTACCTGACTTTAGTTTTTTTAAGAAACGTACTTAAGTCAAAACTTAAGTTTTACGTAAGTGCGACTTAAATTTTGATTAAAGTTTTGACTTAAGTTGAAAACTTAAGTTTTTTTTTAAAAAAGAACCCCAGGAGAAACAACATATACAGATAAATTTTCTTTTTAATTTTAGATTATTCTTTATTTTAAGGTTTTTTAATCATGGCGAGTCATTCAAATACTACTACTGCACTCGCTGAAAGTTCGAAAATACTATTAGAAAACTTCGTTCCCCTTCGTAGAGAAAGTAATCAGGTAAAAAAAGTTCACGATGTTTTTATTAAATATAAATAATTTTTATTTTTCTTATTGATCTGTTTTTAGTTATTTGATGCTATGAATGTGCTTAGTCATGGCACAATCACATTTACAGACAATCGATCGAATAAAGCTGAAGTTTGTTTTTTCATTCTTCTGATAACTGCTAATTCTAGAATATGCGATGTTACTTTTCAGTTTATCCGAGTACCTGCGGAAACATCTATACCACATGTCAAGGAACTTCTATATCAAGAGTGGTGTAGCGGCAGACCATCTCTTGTTATCTCCATCACTGGCGGTGCAAAAGGTATAATATCTGTTGGAAAAAGAAAGGTTCTATGAGATGTTAATAATTTTATTTTTTCTTCGCTTTTTTTTGAATACAACATGAAACCCAAACTAGTGAAGGCGTTTCGACAAGGTTTATTGAAAATAGCAAGTACCACCGGTATAATAAGATTTAGAAAATTTTGAATTTTTTTTCAAATGAAAAAAACTTGTATCTATTTAACTAGGTGCTTGGATCATAACTGGTGGAATGAATACTGGAATAATGAAACTTGTAGGTGAAATTATACAAATAAATCATTATCGTTCGAAACCAATTCATGTTATTGGTATAGCCACGTGGGGTTGTGTGAGTGGAAGAGAAGCATTGGACGTAAAGGGTGTAAGTAACGTTTTACTTTATTTTCTATTAATTTTCTAGTTACTGTTTAAAATGATTTCTATATTTAGCAAATTGTTCAGTATACAAAATCACGCAGTGAGGAGAAAGGTGAAGCTCCATTGGATTCCAAACATACCGAATTTATCTTTGTCGATGATGGTACAACGCACAAATATGGTGGTGAAATTCAATTTCGTGCCAGATTAGAACAAGCTATTTCTGGTGGATTTTTTACTTCCAATCGTGTACCAACATTGTCACAACAAAATTCAACTGGAACAGCATCATTAAGACCAGAAAAATTCGGTAAGTCATTAAATATTAAGTTGAATATTGCTTTGAATAATTCTCGTTGTTTAGATCCAGTTCCTGTTGTTCTCCTAGTTGTTGAAGGTGGACCTAACACTGTCATAACTGTGCATGAAGCAGTTGTTCAAAATAATATACCAGCAGTTCTTTTCGAGGTATAACTAGTTTTGATAACTAGAGAATTTTGATTCTTTTTATAACAGTTGAAGTCACTGTTTTTCTTTTTTTAGGGCACAGGTCGTTGCTGTAATTTATTTGCCAAAGCTTATGACACATATGAGAAACTAAAAATACAAATTGAAATTCCTGAAGAAACTAATACAAAGCATGTGGTTGATCTAATAAAAGATGTCATATAAATATAAATGTCTGCTCTTTTCTTGTTTAGTTCTGATTTGATACAAAAACGGAAAGAAGAACTTAAACATCTTTTGAAAGAAGAATTAAAAGAGGAACTCAGGGCATTTGCTGACAAAAAAAATACTGATTATTTTCAATTAGTTTATGAATGTGTTGATCAACGTTTTCACTTTTTAAATATTGTAAGTTTAAATGCGCGAAGTCCTGTTGAACCAGATATCGATTTGGCCATATTACAAGCATTATTAAACGGTATTTTCACTTTAAGTACAGTCATTCCACATAATCTCGTCCGAAAAGATGATTCAGGCACTTTTATCTGCTATTTTCCTAACTTTGTATCTTTCGAACAATGGGATGTCTGGTGTCCGTATAAAGAAAAAAAAAAGTGTGCTTAACAAAATGGCACATCTCAGAGCTCTTTAAGGTTTTTGATTAAGAAGATATTGTGAAAATATTCAAAATCGAAATTGTCGTTTTATAAGTAAGGTATGTCTTTGTTTTGTTGATATATTTCCATAACCAACAATCTTAGAGAGTTCTGAAAAGTGCTATTTTGTTAAGTATACTTTTCTTTACAAAAATGAGACAGTTACGAACTCTGGGTAATCCGGAAAAATATAAAAACGAGAAAATAGCAAAAAAATGTTTGAATCACATTTTTGGCTGAGCCACATGGGATGACCAACTACCAGATTCCAGACGTCAGCAAAAGAAAAGAACATTTTCTTTATCGTTTAGCGACAAATATCTCTGAGCCTGGAAAAGGGAGTGTTGAACGTAAACGTGAACAATTGCTATTGGCACTTGAATGGAATCGAGTTGATATAGCAAAACAGTTTATCATGACAAACGATGAAGATTGGTTGGTTAGTTTGAGTGAATATCTTAAATTTGAGTTAGATTTTTTGTTTTATCACTATTGTTTTAGAAAATTAATTTGAATGCCTTATTTTTAACTGCTCTTGAACGGAATCAACCGGCATTTGTTCGATTATTTCTTGATCATGATTTTTCATTGACTGTTTTATTTCACGATAATTCTAATCTATTAGATTTATACACAAAAATGGTATATTATCAAAAAAATCTAATTCAAATTCAATATAAAAGCATTTGCTTTTTGTAGGACTTTCAAATAAATCCACAGTCAACTGATCCGTTGCGTACGATTTATTCTCAGTGTTTGAAGCCACAAATTGGTGATTTTTTTGAGATTGAAGCTGTTCTAAAACCATATACATCCGAACACGATAACTATGATAATAGTGTAAATTGCGCATGCTGTTTGCCATGGTGTGAAAACCATTATCATGATAAAGATGACAAGACAAATGCAAACTGTAACTCATCTAATAATGTTTGATTATGCAGCTTTTGTATATGCATGTGAATATTTTTTTTATTTTTGTATCAGTGACTACTTCAACATATATGGATGTCGACAAAGAGTTATTCATATGGTCCGTATTATCTGGAAAACATGAATTTGCCATGCTATTCTGGTCGCGTTCAAAAAATAAAATATGTAAGCTTTTGAATTTGATTAATATTTAAAATAATCCTCTATTTTTTAAGGTGCTGCACTATTAGCTGTCAGATTATATACAGTTCGAAAGGAAATAGATCCAATATTTCTTGAATATGCTAAGGAATTTGAAAAATTAGCTGTAAATGTACTTGATTTATTTTATAAACAAAATCCAATAGAATGTAAATCTGCAATAACTAGACAAATACCGGCATTTGGAAATGTTGCATGGATTCAAATGGCTGTTTGTGCAGAAGCTAAATTTTTCATTGCACACAAAGCTGTTCAAGATGTACTAAATGATATTTGGTTAGTAAAATTATTGACACTTCTCTTTTACAAGATTTAATGATTATTTGTTTATCTGTTAATTTTAATGATAGGTATGGTGGTATTGATACCGAAAAATGTAGTGATGGCACTATTATACTTTCATCGTTTATGTTGTTGCTCAGCGGCTTTTATTTAAAATATCATGATGATTCCAAGAAGTTTGATTCCAATAGACCAAATGTATTGTTTCTAAATTATCTGACACATAATTAGATGCCAGAAACACTGTTTATCTTTCAGGAAAGTCATTCACGATCCTTTCCACATGGAAATAAATCAAGATCAATGATTGACAAGTAAGAAAATATTTTAATACACTGATCTTTATTTTTTAATGAAAATTTTCAGAACTTTCCTTCGTCAGAAGGAAAAACAAAGTTTTAAGTTTAAAGAGGTTTTGGAGACAAAATGATTTCTGTTATACTTTCCGCTTATGGACAGTCGATCGGACAGGACACGAACGACGTAGTGTCCTGTGATTTGCAACTGATTATGCTACGCCTATATTGAAGAAGAAAATTTTCACATTTTTGCACCCCAAGACAACACTGACAAGGTTTTATATTTTGATCGGTCATATAAAGAAAACAAACAAGTAAAAATATTTTAGCTCCTATCATTTCATTTCAGTCCAATTCTTAGAAATCGAAAACGACATTTGACAAGTGAAAGTTAATCAAAGTTATTATTATCTTTAAGTTTCTTAATTGTATAACTATTCTAACGGGATACATGTTAGACTAGTACGATGATATGTAACGTCTTGTATATTATAAACATACCCAAAAATTGCTGTATTCTAATAATTAGCAAATAAAAATAAAAATAAATTAGTTTTCTCAGTCTATGAATTTTATTATTCAGGCGACAAATCTTTCATTCCCCACTATTCACGTACAATGAAAATGACTGAGATAAAAAGGTGAGTTTTCGTTTTGTCGAAAGTGATTTTTAATTATCACATTTCAGGTGTCATGGAAAGTTTGCGTTTGTTGCAAAACAAAGCAAAATTTCGCACAAAAAATTTTTTTCTCATGAATTTTATGTTCATTAATGATCTTTCACTGACGATGTCTTTTGCGTCACAAATATATTCAAAGAACAAAAATGTATCGATGAGCTTCTTTGGTATGATATAAATGAGGTAAAATTAAACATAAACAAATGTCAATGGATTTTATTTTCTAACTCTACAAAAACACTTTCATCGCTTACTCTTTTAATAAAAAAAACATTAATATTAAGCGTGTTTCATCTATCAAACTCCTTGATGTTATTATCTTGTATAATTTAACGTGAAAATTTTACATTGAGTATGTTTCAACAAAATCTCGGCAAATGTTAGGCTCTATTTCTAGAATTTTTTGAAACTCGCTTACGTTGCCATCTGTATAAAACTTGTGTAAGACCAGTGCTCGAATATGCGTGTGTTATCTATGATTCAACCTTTACGTCTCATCTTAATATTCTGAACAAAATTCAACGTCTTACTAGAAGAATTATTTCACAAGACTTTAATAGTTCCTCTTGTTATTTGTTCAAAAAATTTAAAATTCAATCACTTCCTAATACACGTCTTTACTATCATTTTCTATATTTTCATAAAATATTCTATAATAAAAATCCTTTCTCATCTTTTGATCTCACCGTTAACTACGCGTCAAAGTTCTCGATTAGGTCATAATAATTCCTCGTCTCAAACTAAAATCTGCATTCGGCTCTTTCGTTCCACGTGGTTTAAAGGAATGGTATGAACTTTCTTCTTTATCTGTATTTAAGCGTATGTTAAGAGATCATCTAGACTTTCAATAATTTTTATATTTAGATCTATTCTTTTTCTTAGAATCTATCATACTTATATTTTCTCTCACAATGTATGTGTTATAGTAGCGATTCTTTTTAGAAACTTTTTAGTTTAGATTATTATGAGGTGTCTTCGAATGTCACAAGTGTTTCGTATACATATAGATCTCTAACGTATGTAATCATTCAAGAATACAGAAATTCCAAAATAGTCTATTACTTTCGAGACCTAAGGAAATAAAATATTGCATGATTGATTAAAACTTATTAAAAACATTTGCTTGCTGTGTATTTATTTATTCAATATATAAATTTGACAAAATAAAATGTGAGAAAAATAGAAAGAAATTTTATTTTAAAAATCTATCAATTATAATTGAGAAAAGTGGCGGATCATAATTAATAATGAATAAATTTTGAAGAGAATCATCAATTATTTGAACGTTTTTCACTTTTTTTTTTCTTTTCTTTCTAGCTACACAGAGTCATCATTTGTGGGTTTTCTCATACTGCTTTTTCATTTTTGCTTTTTTATTTATTTACTTTTTTTTGCTTAATATATCTCTTGGATGTAAGAAAAATGACAATATTTCTATTTGATTTTTATCTTTTTTTACATAGTTCAGAAATGGCAAATTTGAAATTTGATCATTATAATGCTAGCAATCCCTCCGATAAAAAGATTTTGGATTTTAATATTTTCGAAAAGTAGGATCTGTTTAAAATAATGGCAATATATTTTAAGCTTCAATCACATCTGTTTGTTTAACATAGCTTTCTTTCTTTTTGTTTTTTTTTATCACATACTAATTCTATTGTCATTACAAACTTATTTTCTTATATTAACAATTAACATTATTTCAAGTTGCTAACATTGTCTAATGATGATCTACGATAGAGGCTTAGCAACATTATTCAACTAATATCAGAGTAAAATTTTATTCATACTTTTTTAATTATATTTTACATTTTAAATTATTTTTTTTTGAAAGAAAATATATTTAAAATTATTTAACAATTTGATTTGTAGATAAAATCTTACTTAGACGTTCTTGTATTTTCCTCTTCGAAAAAGTATACAATTAAATTGAACAATTGTACTGTGAAAAGTACAGGAATATCTACGTAATCAAGATGTTGAAGAAATTTTGACTATATTTTCTTTCAAAAATTAATTAAAATATAAAAAAAAAATGACAAAAAAAAACTCGTTGACAAAATTTCGCTCTGTTAACAGAGTTACGTGTTCATACCGATAGATATATTTTTGAAAAATTAGAACAATTAATGAAAATAGTCTCCATTTTATAAAAATTTAATTATTTGTAATAACAATTTAGTTTTTAATAATATTGCCTGATCAACAGGTGTAGATAAATTGTTTTATTTTTATTTTTTTGCTGCTTAAAATTATTTTTATTCTATTCTCAATTTGTCTTCTTAGAAATTTCTTCTTCTTATAATCAAGAAATTAATATAGGTGTTGGTAGTTTGCTTTCTTGATTTGTATAATTAATTTTCAAAGCTCAATTTTATATAAACTATCTAAATGGTAACCTTACATTTTTCTTCTCTTTTTCTTTTTATGTTAGGATTAAAACAAAAATTGGTACTTTTTTCAGCAATATACTGAATTTTGTTAGAGCGCCGTATGTCAAATGTTTATACAATTTGGTAAGTTATTTTTTTATAAATGATTAATATCAGGAGATATCTGATTGATCTCAGGTAAAAGATTATCTTACTCATTATTTATAGTAATCATGTATCGATATTTATTTACCAGTTTATTTTATTCTTTTTTTCAATCAGATTAACTAAAATCCCACAAATTAACGAAGTTTTTTTTTGACGAATTAGTTTTGTAGAGTAAACATTTTTCTACAAAAAAAAACATGACAGAACTTGACATGTCCTGTCTTTTGACCGCAAGCGCATTTTGACAACGAGTTATAAACTACTATTAATCTATGCTCGTATTAGTATCGATTGTGACACATTTAATAAGCATTTTTTTATCTAATTACTGAATCGAGACAAAAAGTCTTCATTTTGTAGAGAAACGTTTACTTTACAAAATCCAATGTTTAATAAAATTCTAGAATACTATTTTGCATTACAAAAAGTTTTTTTGTAAAAAAAACACAAAATTGTAATCGATGTAGCTTAATAAAAAGAAAATAATAGAAGAATATGTCACTTTTTTTCTCTTTCAATTTAGTATTTTCATGTTGGATTTCTAATGTTATTCAGTTATGTCATGTTATGTGATTTTTTTCCAATACGTCAATTTGATGGTGATATTTATTGTCCACCGACAAAAATTGACAAAGATCATATTAATACCAATGATAATGATAGTAAACTATTTGGCGATAGTAATATTAAAAAAGCATATGAATTTGGAAAACGTTTTGGTATACAACCACCTGAAATATTACTTGTTATATGGATTTTTACATTATTATGCGAAGAAATACGACAAGTATGTCTTGTAAATTAGAAGAAGAAAAAAAGAAATATTGTATAACAAAAATTTTGTTTTTAGCTATTTTCAATGGAAAGTCGAACAATTCGTGGACGAATTATTTCTTATATCTCTGTGATATGGAATAAAATTGATGTATTGGCTTTACTATTATTTTTGATTGGTTTCATTCTACGTTTAATACCTGTTGAAGGATGTTTTTGTGCTGCTCGAATTATTCTTTCTATTGATCTTAGTATTTGGTATATGAGAACATTAGATATATTTGCAGCTGTAAAAAGATTAGGACCCAAATTAGTTATGATTAGTGAAATGGTATGAATTTTGTTTTTAAGAAAACAAAACATTAATTTATAAATATATGTTTATTTAGGTACACGATTTAAAATTTTTTGTAATGATGTTGACAGTCTTTATATTAGCATTTGGAGTTTCATCCTACGGCCTTATTTATGGTGTACAACCATTCTCATGGCATTTACCTCGAAAAGTATTTCATATTGCATATTGGCAAATATTTGGTGAATTGAAAATACTAGACGAATTTGAAGGTAATGAAAAAAATAAATAATTGATTACCTTTTCATTGGACGATGCCAAAATTTCGAATTTTCAGTAAAAATTTTGTTTTGTTTTTTCATACATCGTTGTTAGGTAGAATGCATCGAACTGTATAACAAAAAGCGGTTTTTCATTTTTTTAAGGAAGAAAAAATTGAAAAAACTCGATGTATGTAAAATTTCGAAAAATCCATCAGTTTAAAAAACAATTCAAATTCTTTTCTTTTTTGTTCTTCTAACTTTTAAAAGTATTTTTTCACATTCAGCATCAAAATCTGAGTATGATGAATGATGATTGATCGAGTTTGAAGTCAAAGATCTATCCAGTATGAGCGTCTTGGACTCCTCTTGTGAAAAGTTCATAAACAGTTTTGTAAACCTATCTCGTTTTTCCTCTGAAGAGACGAAGCCGATCTTTTTTCCTTTCTTAGTACCGCCATTAAACGAGCTTTAAAAATAATTCTACTCGTAGTTCTCTATTTTCTCCTCTAGAAACTCACCTTTTATACAATAAAAATAACATATTCAGAATCAGCGTCAAAAACCGAATCGAATGATATATGTTTCGAAATTTTTCGTTGATTTTCAGTCGGGATGAAAATCTCAGTTTCGGGTAGAAAATTCGAAAACAAAGTTGTCGGATAGAATGAAAGAATACATCATTCAACTCGGTTTTAGACGCTGATTCTGAATATGATATTTTTATTGTATAAAAGGTGAGTTTCTAGAGGAGAAAATAGAGAACTACGAGCAGAATTCCGAGTTTTTCACTCTTGATCTAGCAAAAATGACTTTTCTCAACAACAAAACAAATTTTAAAAGAAAAAAGCGAAGCATATTTTTAAAGCTCGTTGACAACTTTAATTTTTCGGCAATAAATCTCGATCGAAATAAATCAAAAATTTTTTTGCGTGCAATTTGTCTCTTGTAGATACTATAAGTGACTCGATCAATGATAGTTAGAGATTCTTTATATAGAATATTGTAGAGTAAATCAAGGGCTATTTTTATATACCAGATATAAGTTGGATCCTCTTTTTCATACGGAGAAAAAAAATACTTAGAACATCTCTGATACCTTCTTTTAGGTCAATTTGTCTCTTGTAAAAAATAATTTCTTTCTATTGAAATGATGTACAAGGATTTTGCATATAGTATTTTATTCCGTTTTTCACTGGCTATTTTTTCATATCACGGTTTGTGTGAAACCTATGCTGCATTTTTCAAAAGTATTATTTTTTCTAACAACGACGTGCTCTGATGGAATCTCAAAATAATCAACGTTAGAAACGTATTTTGAGCTTATTTTCCATAAGAAGAACTGGCCAATGTGTGTCAATGCCTTTTCGATAAAAGTCCAGTCAAAATAAGACAAAAAAAATGAGGGACCGTTTTTTGATCAAGTTAACCTCTCTCCTTTTTACTGAAAGTTCGAAATTCTGACACCTTCCAGTCAAAATGTAGTCAAATTCGAAATCTCGACATCTTACTATGTTTCGATTTTATTTAGAAAGCTACAGAGCAACAGGCTATGCTGTATTCATATTACTAGCGGCTTATATGGCTATTGCAAGTATACTCTTAGTCAATTTATTAATAGCCATGTTTAGGTAAATTTTTATTATTTTTTTATTATCGTAGTTACTTAAAGAATATTGAATTATTTTTAGTAATACATTTGATCGATTACATACCAATACCGATCGTATTTGGAAATCTCAACGATATTTATTAGTTTGTGAATATTTAACAAGACCCTCGTTACCTCCACCATTAATCATTTTTTCCCATTTATGGCGAATTTTACTATGTATTCTAACAAAATGTTTTAAAATAAAACGATTCATTAAAATATATGAGAATCATGTTGATCGAACAAAAAAAAAACTTAGTATGTTTAATATGCAGAAATCTAAAGATAAATAATTTATTTTCTTTATTATTTCATTTTCAGAAAAATCTTTAACTGAAAAATTGGTTATAGACATTGAAAGTTCGTTTATCTTTTTTTATTCTATCAATAATTTTGATATTAAAAAGATTTGAATTTTTTATAGGTATTGAAGATGCGCGTGGTGATGAAGCGTATTTTAATCATTTGAAAACTCATCGAAAAATGATGGATATAAATGATGTGGAAGAAGATAGAGCGTAAACATAGATTAATAAAATGAATATATTTTCTATATAAAAAAAAGTTATTTTCTTTTCAGTAATACACCACAAGAAATAGCTGTAAATCGTATTAAAATACTCGAAAATAAAATGCAATTAATACAAACTCAAGTAATTTTATATTTAATCAATATTATTAATTTATCCTAATTAAAATAATTTTATTTTTTCTTATTCTAGCAATCTCATATGATGGAATATCTTGAATATCTAATGGATGGTTTAAAAACATTGGGTGGTGATAAAATTAAAATGCCTGAAAAACATCGATTTGATTTAGATGAGCCATGTAAGTTCATCACAGACTTTCCAAAAATGTAGAAAATTAAAAAAAAAATTGTAAACAAAAAAAAAAAATAAATGCATTGAATTGAATGCAGAAATACGCTTAGACTATTATAGCTAATCGAAGACGTATGTCAAGTAAACAAGATTCAATTGAATATGATAGACGTAGATCAAGTGTTGATAATGATCAATCATTAGTTGTTCTATTGAGACGAAGATATTTCGCCATTCCAGAGGTGAACATAATAAAATTTGAGATTTGTCAGCATGCTTGAATTTTAAACGAGGGTCAATGGATAAACAAAAATTATAATTATTAAAAAATAAAAATAAACCGGTCTGCATGTTACTTCTACTACTAAACTTGATAATTATCGTTTCTTTTTTTTCAAGAATCGTTTATTATTATTATTTTTTTTTTTGTTGTTTTATTTTTTGTTCTACTAAATTATGTTAAACATAATTCGTTATTCGGTACGGTTAAGGTTCTCCAAAAAATTTATCATGATAATTTATCTAAATGATATAAATTAACAGAACTAATATTGGATGTTAGAAATGTCTATGGTAACGACTAATTTTTCATTTATTTTGAATAATATATTCAGCTCAAATGCTAAAATTACAATTTTATTATTTTAATGTTTCTAATTAATTTTTCTTTTTTTTTTTTTGTTTTAGTGATCAACAGTCAGGTATATTCACCGCATATACATGCATACTCAATTTAATATGATCAACGCTGCTTATCGCTTCTTTTATTTAACGGGTTGGTTATTATTTTTTCTTTTTAACTTTTTATCCTTCACTTTTTACATCTTATTATCGTCGTATATTTACAACTAAGATTTTATATCATAAAATGAAAGTCAAAAGTAAAATATTATATAATAGTTTCTAAATGATTTATTATATTGATTATAATTGTTTTATTCTGTTTTTCTACATTCAAATTATAACAGCATTTCTATCACTTTTTATGCTCTAAATCAACTAATGGTTTTATCACTTTAATAATACACAGGAAATATTCTGTTAAATATTAAACAGCTGCTTTATTTTACAAATTTTTGTTTTAAAAAATACTAATATTTTGCTATGTAGTGATATAATGATGCACATAACATTAGAGTGAATGATTTTTCTTTATTTATCTAGAAAAATATAAATGTTATTTAAAATACATGTTTTAATTGAGTAAAATTTATTTTATTGTTTCATCTATAGCACGTCGATTTACCTCTTAATTTAAAACGTCAAATATTTCAACACTCTCGATACGACAGTTCAGTCGTATGAAACAAAACAAAAAAAACGATGACAATTTATTTTACTTCCTGTCCCGGTGTTTAAAAGAAAAGTGTTCTACTCCTACGCCAAAAAAAAACAAAAAAAACAACAAAAAAAAGAAAGAAAGAAGTTTGCTGTGTTATTTGATTAATAGTTTTGTTGTTGTTTTTTTTGCAATGATTAATTAAATATTATTTTTTTTTACATACCTAGTTTCGTTTTATACACTAAATCAATTTTATAAGTGTTTTTGTTTTTTTGTTATTACAAAATGTTTAATATTTAGCTTTTCAATTTATCGAATGGCTAATTTATTATTATTCTGTTTTATTCAAGAAATTCTTTTTGCAATGTTTTTATTTCCTTGAACGTATACAAACATTCTTGTTTCATTGAGTAATATATAGCATAGATTACGTTAATGAATTTGTAATACATTTCAGTCATAGAATACGTTCTTAAATAGCATTCTCATCTCCCATAGGTCACTTAATTTACTTCACAATCATTTATTTTATATACAAAATAAGTTATTTTTCGAATTATATTATGCATATATCATTTTTTCTAGGTGTTAATCATGCATTTTTATTTTTAACAAAATATTTTTTTTTTCTATAAGGCAAATGAGAGAGGATTTATCATTCTTTATTTTATCAAACTAATTCTTTATTGTTCAGATAGTTATGAATGATATGATGAAACATATTAAGATAGAAATGAGTTACATAAATTAAAATCTGTCTTTTAACCGATGAGATGAGAAGGGGCTTCTAAACTACTATTTCGTACATATACAAAATGTTAGATAGATTTTCGTCATCAATTTTTGTGTACTGATTTCATAATCGAATATTGTTTAAATTGAATGCTAGTATATACATTTTTTTTTCTTATACAGATTTATACAAGATAATTTTTAAATTGTAAATCATCTATTCTTGTAATTGAATCTATAAAACATACATTAGAACAAAAAAAATTCACTCTTCAATTTTTGTATTTTCTTTCGATGAAATAAAACCAATGATAAAAAGTGCTACCATATTAGAATTTGGACGAAACAGAAAGATTAATTAATTAGTCATTCGATAGATAAAGAATTAATCATATACTCTTCTTTTCTTTTTTTTTATGTATCTCAACTAAAGTTGTACATAAAATATGCACTACATTATTATTCTCTTTTTTTTCACGTTTTTGCATGTCAGACAGCAAAAAGGTCTACTAAATACAATTTATTGTGTATGAACGATTTCTTGTTTTATTAAAAACTAAAAAAGTTGTGATGTTCCACTATATTTATCAAAAAGTGAATAGAAAGATAAGGACATTGAAATCAAATGTATGAAAATATTAAAGTGTTCCCTATTTTTTACTTTTTTTATGTCGCTTCAATTATTATTTCACAATCTAAAAACATCTTACAACGTTTTTTAGCTTTAATAAAACAAAAAGAGTATACTGAAAAACAATTTTAGTTAATTTTTTTGATAAAATGGTTGTTTTTTTATACTCATTAATGTGTGTGTGTGTGTGTGTGTATTGGTGTTTTGAAAGTGGTTGATTGCTATTTCAAATATATTCATAATAAATTATAATAATATACATCACAATACTAATTATTTCTACTCGAAAAATATTTGTATTGTCAAGTGTCATTATGTAGGTTTGTTTTTATAAAATTGTAATAATTCAACATTTAAAAACCATCATCAGAACATATGAGTTGACATGCTACTCATGAAAAACGCTAATGGTCGACCAGTATGATTAAAGTAGAAGTTAATAACAAGAAAAAATCATCAAACTGTAAAGCACACTTTTCTGCATAGGACACTGTCTTTTGTTCTGTTTGTTCATGCTTATTAAACGAAAAAACATGGATCAGACAAAATCGTGGATCAGTACTAATATTGCATGATTGATCATACTACAAGAAAAACGTATGCAACAAAAGAACGAAAGTGATGATCATGAAGTATCTGATATAATTTTGAAGCGCAGAGTCCGGGCTTTCTTTTCATCTATTTAAAAGTTTTCCAGATCGTTTTTTCTATGAGAAAAATCTTTTGAAAAACTAGAATAAATCAATGTCTGTGCGTTACCGAAAATCGAGTTTAGTTTATTTTTTGACTAAACTAAAGCGATTTATTTTTAAACTCTCATTGATCTTCCGCTTACTTTTAACGGATTATCTAATGCACTTATTGGTTTTTC